CATTGTAAGCTGCCTAAGAAGGCCTCGGCAATTATAGGGGGCTATCAATGCATGCAAATAAATAAATAAATAAATGGCTGAGAGTTAGGTTAGCCCGAGAGTGAGCTACCCTGGAGAGTCGATGTGGCAGCTGAGTGGATACTTGAACCTGGATTGCCTGAGTCTTGTCCAGCACTTCAACCATTAAGCCACACTATCTCTCAGGTTGACTTCCTGATCTGGGCATGAGAGTGATCGGACAGAAACACAGGATGAAAATAAGTATAAGACTCAGCTGAGACATGTAATGGCAGAGTGGTTGTAGCTACATATGAGATGGGCTTCTTTCAGAGGCCCCAGCGTCGGTCACCAGTGGTGACGGTCTTTGTGTCTGGCTATTTTGAAGCAGTCCCAAGGGCACAGCCTACAGTTACCAGCCAAACCCATGGATAACGTTCATCATCTGAGGTCCTTCTCTGAGTGCCACCTCCGAGAGAGGCTTGGAAAGTGGCATCAAGGAGAAAGGCCTTCTCAGTGTTGTCCCTGCTCCTTAATTACAGAATGAGCGCCTCACTGGGACCTGCTTTGCACCAGCTCTGTGACCTCTTCAGAGCCAAGTTCAGACTGCTCTCTTCTCTGGGGCATTCTGTGGTGTTCAATGGCATATAGGGGTGGGGAGAGTCTTTTATTGGTCTCGTACTAAAAAGTATGCTGTCATTTTTCTATTGGTGGTTTCTGTGTTTCAATGAATTGTTATGACCTGCCTGGAGAGCCTCCATTACAGAAGAAATATATAGAGGTAAAGAAATGGCAATATAGAAATGAAGTAAATAATAGCAATAAATAATCATAATTGCAGAACAGTATTTGTCTTCAGAACTATGAGAAAGTATTCTCTTAAAGCGACTTTCAAATGATTATATGATAGAAGATGCATCCTGGCTAGGATATGTGATCTATGGCTTGAAAAGACGGAGCCCAGAGTCCCAAATCCCCCCAACACCATCTGATAAAAAGGGTATAAATTACTTGCCCGCTTATCTTGGTCTGGTTATTTTAAGATCTTGCTGCCCACAACCAGTTTGGAGCAGTAATGAATGGGTGGTGTTCCCCAGGAGAAATGGACATTTTGCTTTGCCCCCTAGTTACGAGCAAATTGCAGATGTTGTTATCTTCCGTATGACAACTCTCCGGGATTTTTGTGGGGATACGAATGCTGCTGTAAACAACATGCCACTTCTTTTGCTCTTACACTGTTTGACCCTCACAGTGTATACATATTTATATATTATTCATACTATATTAAAAATGGATGTGCTCTTTACCGCCGTTGTACCGCACTGTGACAATATAAATTAGCTTATTGTGTACTTAACTTTTCACATGACAGTGATGTGAAATTTTGATGGTCCCCAAAAGTTAGTGATAGAAAAACAATGCAGTGGAGAACTGAAACCACTTTAGGTGTTGTTAATGCCTTCCTCCATGTTAATGTAGTTGAATTAATGAGGAACAGATCAAACATGTTTGTGCAGATATTAACATTCAAACTTTTTTGGTTCATGCCTAGTAGTAAGTGGGGAAAGCCTTTGGGAGCATAATTGAGTGCTATTTAGTTCATTCCTCCTGGATCCTTTTAAAAAATTATTTTGGTAAATTGATTAATGAATTACTGTTAATGCTTTAATGACTGCTGCCCTTGATTAAGCTCATATGTTTGGTAGGGCTCATTTGCAGTTCAGGTAGAAAGCAAAGATTAGAAAACCGATTTCAGCTTTAGCTTACACGGCCATAAAGAAGGAGGAATTCTTCTAGCTCTGGAGACCTTCATACAAAGGCTGCTTCACAGCCAGAAAGGTTTATAGGGTGGCAGTTTTAAAAATATTCCAACACAAGAATCTCTATTCTGTTTCAGAGCCAGCAGGATCAGACAACCTGCTTAGGCACTGATCTAGAATATATTCTGTTCCTGTTTTAGCTGCATGAAGCTCCTGAGGCTTGCCTAGCTTTCCCCTCCTGGAATTTAAAGATTCCAAGTGGCTGCTGCTCAGTATTTTTGCCAGTATTCTTTCTGGAAATCTTTATTCCCAAATATGGAAAACTAGGAGCCCCCACTGTAGAAATTATGAACACTGACCCACCATGACATGCTGTCTCCCTTCATCTTCCCTTAACCCTCATTTAGGCTCCCACTTTCAGTCTCTTCTTCTGCTTTGCCTAGTTCTTTTCACCGTCGTTCCTTTGGACTTTCTGGTCTTTGGCCCCTCTTCCCACTATGCCTTGTACTCTGCCTTTTCCTACCAGAGTTGAAACACTTCCTCCTGTTCCTGGTAAGGCACAAGGAGGGATTTCTTCAGTGCAACTGCTTTTCCTTTACAACTCACTGAACTCTTATGAGTGTTCTACTGCTGACAAGTTCCTTCAGCAAATAGAATGTTTGTGGACATCCCGTGGTATCACTTCGGCTCCGCCAACAGGTACCAGAGGCTTCATTGTTGCGGCAATAAAATCCCTCCGCACATTACAGCATGGATAATATAAGCCCGTAAGGTAATAAACAGATTCATCCTTAGACTCCAAAGTGCCATTTCTCCATTAACAGCTTTTTAAATTCCTTCTGCTGAAAATTCTTACCTCCTGCTTATAATTTTCTTCTTCTACTTTTCCTTTGGGTATTAAAATAGACATTTCAGAGCAATCCTTACTTGTTTCTTTCTTCTTTACCAAAACTTTGAGTCGCACTGGATATTGAACAGGCAGGGGACTTGAAGTTGTTGCTTGGTCCATAGTTTTTAAGCATAATGACCTGACTTACATTCACATGGACTAAACACATGAACCAGAATGTGCTTATCCTGCAGTTGCCAAACTTTTTCTGAATTGTGTGATGTCACTCTCATTTCCCACAAAAGTGCCTTAAATATGGTGTGGCTTTATTTTCTAAAATAACAATTCTATGTGGAAGAACAGAAGCTATGAATGAACATTCAGAAGGGACATAAGCCAAAATTAGACTGCTCCCTCCAATCCTAGAGCGTACAGATTTGAAATGATAAAGAGGGTCAACAGTGATTTATGGGTGCATAGACTTTAGCAGATGTGAATTTGCCCAGAGCTGATGCCTGTAAATATTATGCCATCTATCCTCCCATCTCAAATATTGGAAGTGAGCATGTGCTCTGTTGATGGGAGTGAACCTAATTCCTTGTTTGCGAGACTGCCGTGATGGTTCTCCACGTGAATCACACCGAATGTGAGCATGAAGCCTGAGTCGCTTTGCTAATTCCACAGCTGCGATGTGCTGGCAGCAGACATGCATGAGGGTCTGTGTGTGGACAATCAAGCAACAGGAAAAAGGAGGGTAACGGCTAGTCGGCTGTGTTTTCCCATAGCCCTGGCTTTTTATGTAGATGGCCAGGCAAATTTATTTATTCATTTATTTCAGCAAATTAAAGTAAGCTAAGTGCATTTGACCTCAGATGGCTCTGGTGTAAGTTGATTTGAGAAACAAAGCTCATAAAGTTCCAGTAAAACACATCAACAACTTCCCAGCAAAGGTTGAAATTGAAATGTGATTGCTGAAACACTATCTCCTAAGCAAAGTCTTAGGCTAGCTCAGAATAACCTGGAACAAAACACACGCCATGCATGAAGAAAACTATACTGTACAAGAGAATTGCAAGCGGCGATTATTTTTAAACATAATATTTGAGCTGAGCACAATAGACTTTTGCAGTGCCAAGGCACCAGTTGCTGGGACACGTAGGAAAGAGGGTCTTAAAGCACAGGCATCCTGCTTGTGGAACCTGGTGGGCAGCTGGTTTGTCACTGAGTGAGCAGAATGCTGACCCTCGGTCTGATCCAGGATGGCTCTTCTTGTAATCTAACATTGCTATGAGGATAAAATGGGTCATGTGTTCTATCCACATGCCCCCAACCTCTTTGAACAAAGGACAGGATAGGAAAAAATATGAATTATTGCTCTGTAAGATCTTTTCTCCCTTCTGTTTCCCTCTAACACATGCACATCTGGACTGTGCATGCCTTAATTTTGCATCACTTTCCATTGGAAGAAACAAAAACCAGATTAAAAAGAAACATTCTGTATGTCAAAGTGACTTAGTAAAATATGTTTGAGGATGTTATTCAAGCACGGCGTGATTTTTGTTTCAAAACCTATTATTGAGAAATGTTACAGAAATCAATTCGAATTGGTATTATTTGTCAAGGTCTGAAATACAAATTTTCAAAGTATTTTTGATGGCAAGGCTATTGTTTTTAAATGCATCATTCCAAGAAGATAAATGCAGAGCTCTTCTTTGCCAGAGATATTTCAGCAGAGGTTAGATGACTACTAGCTGCATGCTGCTGTAGTTGCATCCAGTTTTGTAGATTTTGCCTTGGATGATCTCTGTGATGGAAAGTGCCATCCTAAGCACCTTTAGGCAGAAAAGTATCTCACAGATCCCAGCATACATGTGCCAAGCTGGCTGGGCAATGCTAAGAGGCATAGGACATTTCAAGACATGCATCAGATTGGACCTTAAGCTGCCTTTGTCTGTGTCAATGCTGTTTCACAGATTCCTTTCTGAGATGGTAGCATCATGTCATGGACATTTGGAAGACAGAATGAATGTCACATCCATGCTTCTTTGCAAATGGTGGAGCCGGGGCATGTGTGTGGAGGGAGAAAGATAGAGTGTGTACGCACATGTGTGAGAGAGAGAGAGAGAGAGAGAAAGAGAGAGAGAGAGAGATTAAATTCAGATATATTACATTCTGTAAACTTCTTGCGCAAGGTTGAATTTCAACAAACATAGACCTGTGTCAGACTTCGGTGGCACAGTACCTGTGTGAAGGTTGCACTGCATTAGAACTAAGCTGTATGAATCAGTCCATATGTGTAAGAAAAAGAGGTTTATATTTTCCATTCCTCCACTTATGAAGTGCACAACAGAAAAAAGAAAGAAAGAAGCTGCTGCTAAGAGGAAAAACTAACCCGATGTTTGTCTGTTGCACAGGTCACCGGCCTTTCCAATGCCGATATTGTCCCTACAGTGCCTCTCAGAAGGGAAATTTGAAGACCCACGTTCTTTGTGTCCATCGCATGCCTTTTGACAACAGCCAGTACCCAGATCGCAGGTTCAAGCGCTCCAGAGTTGACTCCGAGGCTTCTGGGAATTTAGAGGAACCTGCAGCTGTCAAACCTGGGAACTCAACAGAGTTAACCGAGGAGGGCAGGAAGGCCCAAGAGTAACGCAGCAGAACAAATCAATCTATACATTGCAATATTATTTTACACAGTTTTTAGATATGCATTTGGGTAGCAGAGTGTTTGCTTAACTGCCTTCTGAGGAAAACAAATTGTGTGCATATTCCCAGAAGTGTACATGATGTTTAAGACATTAAAGTTAGATATATATATATATATATATATATATATGAAAAGGAAAAAAAACAGCCCTTGAAAATGGCTGCTAAACTGTTACCTGGCAACAAGTACTTCCAAACAATGTAGGTGGGGATAAATCAAAAGGGTGTTTCCCCCCCCACCAAACGTGAGGAGGATGTAAAATTTGTGTGTGTGAAATATATGGAAATAAAGGGGACATTTCCAACATGAAAGTGGTCTTTGTCCGGAAATCACGCTCTTACCAGAAAAAAGCAAGCAAGCAAGCAAAAATCACCCCACACACCTTACAGCACCCACCTTGCAGATTTCATGTTGCCTTGAGGATGGCAGGAGTGTGTGTCTGTGAGGGGGTCTGTGTTTTCATTGTTGAAAACACCTTTTTAATATGACGCCAACTGCGGTCGTTTGCCTAGCATAGTAATGAGATGTGTTGGGAGACTGACATGGTTCCAGCCTGACCGGAGATGTCACTGCAGAGAAAATCAATTCAACTGCACTATAGGAGGAATTTTAGACGGCCCATAAGCTACGGTCAATGCTGACCTATATTGAAAAGGATTCTGCATTACATTTTAATTTTAAAAAGATATATATATAGATAGATAGATTGATTGATAGATATAGAGATAGCTAGATAGACGCACATATAGGTACACACACACACACACACTCACTAATGGCCAAATGAATTAAGTGTTATAGAGAAAAAAATTCTGCAGCCCAATGAGAGATTGTAGATTTATTGTATGATGTCTTTTGGGGGTTGTTTTATTATTATTATTTTTAGATCAACTTGCAGTATTGAGGGAAAAATTCTTCCTATTTTATTCCTTTTTTAAATAAAGTAGGGTGCTATAGAGAGATTTAGAATTACATATTAAAAATGTACTGGATAGGGTCACTGTTTAGCCTTATCTAGAGGAGATATTGGTGCAAATATATATATATATATATCTATATATATATATATATTTCAATAGAGAATTTCTTTCTTCTCCATATAAAGAAAACTTGAATGAAGGATTTCCCCAGTCAAGATTAGTTTTCATTTATTAGACTGCTTTACTTTTTAAAAAAAAAGTGTTACAGACATTGTGCAGGAGCCTTGCTTTGCTTTTACTGGAGCAATCTCTTTTCAAGAGATATGACCTAAAATACGAATCCAGACATCCTGCTTTTTGTCCTTATGAAAAAAGATGAAGAACATAAAAGTATTAACTGCTATTTCTTTGTTTTTGTAAGGAAAAAAGTGTGTTCTATATTTTTGCAGATTTTAGCTTTTCTACTAATTGGCCCCTCCAAATTTGATTCTGTTGTTTCCCACCTAAGAAGCTTTGGAGAGATTATGGTGAAATATATGACCAAGGGAAAGGAAAGGAAAATAAGTAAGAATGCCTTTAATGATGTATTCTTACATCCACTTGAATGGCAAAAGATTTCAGTCTTTTCATGTACTTCCTTTGAAAGAAGCAAAATCGGTGCTGTTTATGATGATAGAGAAGTGCTAACTTCTTTTCAAAACAAAATAATTCAGACTTTAAATAAAAAGAATGGGAAAAAGTCAATATATCCTTGCAGGCTGGGAGCACAGAGGAAAACCCCAGGGCCTTAAAAATTTCAGCTCTGCCTACAGCAGTTTACAGAAAAACCTAAACTGCAATCAATGTAAATAAAATTCGTAGCGCTACCCTGAGACTGAGCAGAAAGAAAAAGATTCTCAGGCTAATAAGGAATACGGTTTGCATACACTGTCAGAAAATACAAAAATGATACCATCCAATTGAATTTTCAGTTAAACTGAGGTCTCTGTATAATGTGGACCCCCTTCTGGCAGAGGGCAAGCTGCTTTTCTTGTTCTTCAATTTTTTTTTTCATAGTATAGTTCTCACTGCCTTACTTAAATCAAGTTGATAAACTTAATGCAACTGTTTCTTATGATCCTTGGAAAAGGATGGAAATGTAATTGAAGACTTTCTGACTGTAGTAAGCTTTAGGATTTTAACTGCACTACTGTGTTTGGTGACTGTGTTTCGGTCGCTTGCTTTTTGTGTGTTTGCGCCGCCTTCAGTATCTTAGCGAGAAAAAAAGAGGAAAAAACGATCCCACATTCCATCTCCTTGCACTTTTCGGAGCTCTTCTCAGTATTCTTTTGTGTCTTCTGAGCATTTTCAGATATGACAGGCAATAATTCCGTTTGTGACACTGGAAACTTCTCCCCCGTTCTTTGTGATGTGTGTGTTGAATCAATTTCGTCTGGTGCTACTGTCCTGCCTTTTTCTCTGACATTCACCCCTTTTTTTGCCCCAGAACATTTGTAACTTGGAATACAAACAAGTGACAGGAGCAGTGAAACATTGTCAGTTTCTGAATATCATCATGCTTCTCATATCTAACCATGTCAAGATTTTTCTCTGTAACTTCTGTAGTCTGTGATATTGGTCAAAATACTGTCTACATTCCTACGCAAAGGAAAAAAAAATCTATCTTGGAGAAAATCTGAGATCAATAGAGTAGAGGATTTTGTTGCTATGCTTGTAACGATTAGGAAAAAAAACTTTGTATTTAAAGTTTATTCTTGGTCATTATTTATTATTATAATACATCAGTTGACAGAACTTTATTCTGGTATAGAAGTATTAAAAGTTGTTCCCCACCTCAGCAAATGACTGTTTTTTTTCTTTTTGCTGTTAGAATAAAAATGTCTTTTCAGCAGTACACTTTTATCCAGTGTTTTACGCAATAAAACCTCTACCTCTGGGGAAAAAAGAAGCTTTCCTACTTGCTTATGTTTATTAGGAACTTACAATCATATTTTTTCTCCTGTGGCTTTGTCAGATTTGAGGGGAGAAATGGATGTCCATAAAGTCCCAGTTGTTAGGCAGAAGAAGTAGAATATATATAGATATGTATATATATATATACATTAGAGAGAGAGAGAGATTGAGAGAGAGACGGATTGAGAGAGAGAGAGAGAGGGAGTGCTTGATTAAAAGACTGCTGGAATCTGTTTTAGCATGTAGTAATAATTGTTTTCTGTAATACTGATGTACTGCAGGAAAAAAAGTCTTGGGTCTATCAAACTGACCATAAAGTGTTCTAAGTGTGTATCATACTTTATACTGTATAAAGTCATGATTTCACAGAAAGCAAAGCTTTTATTTATATCTATAAAATATTTGACTTCAGAAAACTGTGGGGTTTAATGTAATGGTGCACGCCATCAGATGTTCTTGAACCTTAAAGGGATTTATAGGTCTCATTTTCTCACATGCATCAGTTTCCTTTCTGTATGTATTTTGATTTTCACACTCAGATGCAATTAAAGGATCTGGAATTCTTGACTACTGCTCATTAGAAACTGAAGAAGAGAGTATTCAGATATGTAAATCAAACAAGAGAAGACCAGGGCAAAGGTACGGGGAAAGAAAATTAGAACCAGAATGCTCCAACAGAGAAAAAATCACACTGTGAGTTGTTCATTGGAGTGTTCGCTTCTTTTGGAGCTTCTATTAAAAAGAAAGTATGTAGCAGGGAAAGGCATATGCTTTTTGTCTATTTACCCACGATCTGAAATAGGTAAAAACTGTACCTGATGAATGCACCTGTTCTCCAGCTAAACTGGTTCTCTGGTTTAACTGGCTCATCAGCACGGCAAATGCAGCAAAATTAGGTAGTTTTAATGTTGCATCACCTGACAGAGAAGTTCAGATGGCCACAAGTCCCCTTGACTCTGGAGAAGATTCTGTGCCTGCTGCAGCATCTAGGGTCACACTCTCTTCCAATCCGCCCACACATAAATGTATTGTCAGAATTAAAGCTATAAGAAAACTGAAATATACCCACATGTTGGGAAAGTGTCAATTCCATGTGGACGAAGGTGTTTCAGCCACGTAACTACTATGGCTTGTTATATAGCAAAGAGCAAGCAAAGAGCCAGAGACTTACAATGGCTTAGATAATGTTTGGTGAAGTTTAATCAGAGCTGTTCATTATGGGAAATGACACCGAGTGATTGAATGTGTTTCTGACACTATTTTATATCCTGATCTATAGTATACTGGGCGTCAGTGTACTGGGCGTGTGTTGTGTGTGTGTAAATATAACAAATAAACTTACTCAGAATTACTAAAGCTGAATTCCAGTCAAGACATGTCCAATTTTTTGGAGACGTAGACAAAGCATTGGCTTGGATTCAGATTTAGTGATGTTCAGAGTAGATGTCTTGAAATAAAGGATTCCCAAGTCATTTCTTACATGTGTAAATTGATTTGAGTGCCTGGGTCTGGATCCAACCCATTGAACAGACCCTGCTTGGTTCTAGAAGTTGAGCTGGCTTTAATCTAATTTGTTAATATGCCAGCATTTTATTTCTTGCAGAATCCAGTAAACGTGCCTCGGTACTTACATTTAGAAATAGGTCCTGCTGAATTCAGTGGAGGTTATTTTACAGTAAGTGGGCATGAGGGTAGAGCCTTGTTTGAATAAAACCTACCCATCTCCACCCTTCATCAGAACAGGTTGAAACATTCTCTAACTAGAAAGTGGAAATTATTCTTTCCATAAATGAAGGATGCTTGGCCAGAACTGTTGCATTTATATTGATTGAGGATTCTATTTTATTCAGCACTTAAGGCTTATTTACTAGCAAGCTATTTCTGTACCTTCATCTCAGAGATCCATGCTATCTTTGGTAAAAGGAGATCATTCCAGTTTCCCTGGTCCCATTCGGTATGTGGGATTCCTTTCTACTGGACTGAATTTGAAAGTAAATCTTGTGATTCCCAACAGACTGACAGCTATGTCTGGTATTCACAACCTCAGTTGAACTGTGACGTTCCTAGAAGTTGGGTGTGGCATATTTTGCTTGGTTAAAGCCATAGTTTATTCCATCTTTTCTCAACCTGGTGCCTTCTAGATGTTTTGGATTACAGCTCCCATCACCTCCCAGTCAGATGTCTCTTTCTCACAGAAGGAAAAGACCAACCGCAGGCATTGGTTTGGAAGCATGTGAACTCATCTTGTATGAGATATCAGCTAGCCTGAACATGCTGGATTTGTCTTCTGAATGGAGCAATACTCACATTAGGGAAAGACAGGTGAATGCTCACACCAGATGGAAGGAGATACCATTGTTTACAAGGAATTCAATATGGTCATATTTGATGGATGAAATGTTCACTGGAGAAAGTCAATGGATGGGTGCATTATTTTTAACCACTAACCACAATCCACAGTTTCAGGCACTCTTTCTAAAAACTCATGGAAGCAATATTTTTGAACATATATTTTGACTCACAAATACAGCAAAAACGTGGGCAGATGGCCTGTATGCATCTTGATAGAAATCACTGTGACCCATTCCGGTACATCCTGGCATGGGCTGTAGGAGCCCATGATAAAATTGTTCATTTGGCCTTTGGAAACAGCTGGTGCTCTGAGGCCTTCCATCAAGGCATGTGGCAGCTGGAGCACATCTTTGCTGCGGCAAGCAGAAAATTCACAAATATTGTTAAACACAATTCGCGTGCTCTCTCTCTCTCTCTCTCTCTCTCTCTCTCTCTCTCTCTCTCTCTCTCTCTCTCTCTCTCTCTCTCTCTCTGTCACACACACACACAAACACACACACACATTCTCATTGAGAAATATTTCAGCTACACCAGCAGCCTTCCTGTACAGATGGCGAATGCCTTGACAAGAGATTCTGCACCTAACATTTGAAACCTGCTTCCAGCTTCAAGGTAACGTTTCATGCTGAAACTTTTGTAAGGCCAATAATCCCACTTTATACTGACTGT